GTCAGATCAAAGACTGGTCGAAGGTCATTCACATCAGATTTCTGGAATATGAGCAGTCGCAAAAAGCCGAGCAACCAGTCTTCGTCCGGCCATTACATAAAAGTAAGCCAAAAAAAATATGAGTCACTGTTACACCCTGTTTACATCAAAATTATTCTTTAAAAATAAATAAGCATTCGCTGCCTGTGCAGGTTCAACATCATTTGTGTCTGGAATGCGTCTTTCACATTCTCTTCTGAACCCAGCCTCTAAATAGTCACTTGTCCCTTCCAACACACCTGAGAGCTCTGCTGTTACCTGGAGTTGTTGTTCGGTTACTGTGAGGCCACATTTATCCCCTCCATAATTCTGCAGATACATGTAAATGTGCTCTGGTACTCCATCAGGAAGTTCTTCAGCCTTCTGCTTACGCATGCGATGATTGTTCCACACTGATACACTAAAGGTATCTAGTTCTTTCTGTAGCACGGGAATGTACACATATGCAAGTAGGTTCCTTCAGAGTAAACAGCAAAAACTCACTTTGATAGGTGCAGGTCATTTATTATTCTGAAAAGACTTTGACACAAGAACATCCTTTTTATGACCTCTGAAAGAAACACTGCAATTAATTATTTTGTAGCCAAACAGATTGTGAAAAGATACAAAATTGTCTACAAAACAAAACTTTTCAATCGAAAAACATAAGAATATTTTTTGTATTTACATCTTCAATATCCACTTCATAATTCGTGAACTTAATGTCAAAGTACTGCATCCTGCGTGCTAATGTTCGCTCACTCCATGCATACATTGGGTATTTCGATTCTATGAAGTCTAAAATCTCCCTTTTTTTCCAGTTTGCCGGACGTACTTTGATAAATCACCTTTAAGCGTTTGATCTTGCATCCAGTCACCATTCCTGATTTGATTTCCCGCCATCTTGGCAGAAAGCATCATGACCCAAGTGCATTGTGGGCTATGGCATCGATAGGCCACGACCGAATTTTTTTCTTTAAGAAAAACCTTATGGCACTGCTAGGCTAAGATAAGATTATTTTCGTTTCATTTAACTATTTATTAAAAATTTTTATTCCAATTTTTGATTTAAAGTATCTCGATGTAATTTTTTATCGTTTAAAGTTTAAAAATAAAATGAAATAACATAATAAATAACGGGAAACTAACAAGGTACCACACAATTTTCTTGTGGCATTCCTAGGCCACCATACATCTGTTTTCTTTGACAAAAACACTCGTCATCATTGACGTGATTTATTTAGGAGGGTCAACAGTCTCCTTATGTTGAGTCAGTATTGGACATGTTTTGAAATCGGGTTTAGATACGAAAGATATTGATATCATTCCGGTCGAATCTAATCAACATGCCATACAAAGTAAACTGAGATCCACATTGGTTTGAAAAC